ATCTCTGCAATATCCCAGTGTCAATATCTCTCAAGATCTCATATGGGCCTCACATTTAAATTCTATTATTGAAAAGATTCAACGATTGCTTTTTTTTATTTCCCACTTGCGTTCTGTGAAAGTTCCACTGTATTTACTCACCTAATTTGTACATTCGTGTGTTAATAATTATCTTTTCTATTTCTCTCCAGTCTTACTTGCCGGCCTTAGAGCTAAAGATTACACAATTCTACACCGGTCTATTAATATTATTTCTCGCACAAGCGGTATTCCTTGTTCGCGGTTGCTAAACTTTATTGCCGATAAACATTTTACCTCTTTCGATAACTTTTTGCAACAGTATTTTATCAGACATCACTAGCCCATTTCGCAGAGAACTTAACCAATGCATATCCACTTTTTTAACTAGATGTCGTGTATGCTCGTACCACAGCCTACCGTTTTCCAGTCATCCCCTATCTTTCGAGATTTCTGACCCAAAAGACATCCTTTAAAGAAAATCTTTTGAATTTCCTACGCAAGTGATATCCATTTTCAAACTTTTACTCCATATTCTTTTGAATTTACGATGCTGTTTTTTTCTTTTTCTTTGTGACTATATGCGTTGATTTATGATCCTGGAGTGCAAGAAGATGAGAATACATCCGTTAGGATGAATAAAGCGATTTTTGACATGACTTGACTTGACTTCAGACCTGTTAGGTGATGTTCAGTTATAGATAAAAAAGGAAAAATATTGACATTGCACACGTTATGCGGATGCTGATCTCCGAGGTCCTAGATTGTAGCTGAGGTTATTAACCCATTCTTTCGTTGAAACAGAAGAATGACACAGTTCAAGGTTATCGGAGCTAGAACATGTATGAGTACTTTTCTGCAGAAACCTAGTTATCAGAAACCACAAGATTTGTAGACAAATTAATCGATCTTCCTTGTGAGGTTGCTATATTTTCGCAAACATACATTACCGTGGCTAGAACAAATAACAATGTGGAATCCGACCAAAGATCTACCATTATGGCCCGGAACAGCTCTTACCTGTCGCTCTAAATCAGGTAACAAATGCGTTGAAATTGCACTGATCACTGCACCTCATTATGAGTGTACGACGAGTACATCAACTGTTACAAACCCCAGCGCATTATCACCATTTAAGGATGAAAACAGTATAACGGACAATCACATTGTTAGAAGGCAGATCAACTTAACGGCAGGAGAAACAAGGTGGGTTAA